GCTAGACCAGAGCCGTTCTCCTGGCCTGGCCACGCGAGGAGGCATTAGAGCTTCTCCAGCACAGGAGCCGGGCAGCGAGCTTCTCGGGCGGTGCTCGGACCCTGGGGGAGGCTGACTCCAGCATCTAGGGAAATGCCGTGGGAATGGGGTGTAGGGGCTGAAGGTGAAAATAGGAAAAAGCAACACAATTTGGATGAAACAAGCCATTTGCAAGGTGATTGATATCTCATAAATGGTCTGCGGGTGAGACCGGGGACAGATGGATAATTAGATTTTTAAGAGTTGGAGAAAATGAGATCCATTTTGATAAGCTTGTAACCATCTGAAGTAATGGGGGACGGAGGAGCGAGAATCTGCCATTATGCTCAGAACTGGCTTTGGGAGGGCTGCCTTGGTCAGCCGCTGGAGGGGTGGGTATGGATTCTGTCCAGCTGGTCACCTCCATGGCGGGGGTGGGGGGGCTTGGGCTGCAAGCCACTGGGACCCCTCTCCTCCGTGTCTTCTAGGTCTCTGCCCACAAAGGCCAGGAACCCCCTAGAGCAGTGTTTGTTCCTCCTGGGAGTTAGGGGTCTCGCCGGAAAGCGGCACACCGGCTTACCCACTGGTTTCTCCTGAGTTTGTCCCCAGCCTGGTCACAAGGGTAGCGTGGATCCAGTCAGCTGAAAGTGAGATCTTGGGTCAACGTGGGTCTCGTTTGGTGTTTTCTGACATCACTTCTGGCACCAAATGCGTGGTATTTTCTGAAACCAACCAATACTCCGACGTCAGCTGGGTGTCCTACAATTCGATTCAATTCAGCTCTGACACTCACCCCTGGAGTCAGCGCAGACCCTGCAGGTTAAGGGCTCAGTCCCGCAAGACTGCCCCACTTCAGGTGCCACCTGCAGGCAGGGTCTCTAGGAGACCACACTTCTGCTCAGCCAACTCCAAATCTGGGGGTCCCCATGACCCCTCTCAGGTGGATAATTCACTAGAATGACTCACAGAACTCAGGAAAACACCGTAATGCTATACAGGCTATGATGAAGGACACACGGAAGAGCCCGGTGAAGAGGTGCAGAGGACAGGGTCCAGAAGGATCCGGAGCAGAGCAGCCCCTGGCCCCATGGAGCTGGGGCGCGACAGCCTTCTGGTACGTGGATGTGATCACCAACCAGGAAACTTCTTGAAAGCTCCTCGAATCTCTCTCGTTGTTTGCGAGCTTTTATAACCCAGTAAGAGAGATGAGAGTTTGGTCTTTCTGGGACTATGTTCCATCCTGAGACCATCTAGGGGTCTATTCTGAGTCCCCTCGTTAGCATAGACTCAAGTGTAGTGGAAACGGGTTTGTTTGAATAACAAAAGACACTTCCATCACTCGGAAAATTCCAACGGTTTTAAGAGTTCTGTTCTAGGGACTGGGACAGAGGCCAAATATATATATATATATTTTTTTCATTTATTTTTATTTTTTCAAGCTTGAGTCTTGTATTTTTATTTATTTATTTTAATTTAAAAAATTTAAATTTTATTTTATTGAGTTATAGTCAGTTTACAATGTCGTATCAATTTCCAGTGTGGGGCATAATTTTTCAGTCATACATGAACATACATATATTCATTTTCATCTTCTTTTTCACCGTGAGCTACCACAAGATCCTGTATATATTTCTCTGTGCTACACAGCTTAAACTTGTTTATCTATTCTATATATACCTGTCGGTATCTACAAATTTTGAACTCCCAGTCTGTCCCTTCCCACCTCCCTCCCCGCTGGCAACCACAAGTTTGTATTCTATGTCTATGAGTCTGTTTTTGCTTTATATTTAAGTTCATTTGTCTTCTTCTTCTTCTTTTTAAATTCCACATATGAGCGATCTCATATGGTATTTGTCTTTCTCTTTCTGG